TGTAACATGGTCATTTTCACATTTTATATTATTACTGTTCATATTAATCAATCCCTATTCATCTCAATATAACAGGTCCCTAAGTAGGTTATTTGCAGTTTTACTCTTTTAATACCATGTTCACTTTTCACCTTGAGTTATTCAACTATGCAAACTGTGTCAGTTTTATATATCTATTGTTCCCCTATATGGTCTTTCTCACTCACATGTAGCTGAGTTTGCATTGGGTGTTGGCTTGTCAGTAGTTGCTGTAAGAGTTCATGTTGTACATTACAGAGCATTGTATTTTAAACATTGAAGTTTGAAATATACTATTTTATATATATTTTAATTTGAGTTCGAGTTATTTTATTGCCACCCACGGGCCTTCCACACGCCCATTTACATATAACGCTTTGAAACAACTTTAAAAAGTGAGCAATGTCAGTGTTGTGATAATAGAGAATTTTCGTTATAAGTTGTTTCAAAAACGTATACGTATACTTATAGTTTAAAGGGTCTTGTCGAACTAAAATCAATTCAAATTGATTTTCATAATCTGTACCAAGTGGGGCATAACTATTCCCGATATAGTCAAGCTTCATCATCAACTAGGGACTGCGAATACAATGTCCTTTGCTAGTGTCAATTATGAACACGATAAACTAAATTCTAGTTGACGGGTCCTTGTAGTGTACGATAAACAAGACCCTTTAAAGTGAATCACTACACGAACGAGTCGATCATTTCAAAGTTCTCATGAAATTATAAGGTCAATTTTTAAGTTTTTACGTATAAAAGGGCCTTTATACGCAGATTATAAACTTACAGAGTTGGATCTCCGCATAGTATATGTGTGGACCTACTGACCAGAATGGCTTATTAAAATTAATCGGCTGAATAGGCATAGTATCCAATCAAATAGCTCGACTCATTCATTAGCTGAACTAATTCTCCCTTCGTTATTTCTACAAGGTGATTCAAAACGATCATCTACAAAAAATATATTTGAGAGTAGATAAATCTGTAAAACCCGTGTGCTATATCAGCCTATTTGATTCTAGAAAACACATATGACACAACTAAACATGCTTTACATCAAGGGGGTACGGATGGTATGCCATTGGCCCTTTTTATTACCGTCCTAGGTTATATTTCCCGACGAATTAGGAAATTATGAAACACCTTGTTTATTGGGTTTATAAGTATAAGTATACGTTTAAGTTTTTAAAAAACTTATAACGAAAATTCTCTAATAACGCCCCTCATACCTATTTATTACAGGTCGTGTAGACCATTGTTGCCTGATTTATAGCAAAAACATTGACTTTTGCATGTTGATGATGATGATGATGCGCCTTTTATAATAGATCTCATATCTTAGAAGCGTATCAGTTCAAAAAATACTAGAAGACCTTACATATTTTGCCATGCACTGCGCCTATTCATTTGGCAATTCAGTTGTAAATTTTATCTTGAAAAAAATAAATCTTCCAAATTTGTTGAGTTTTCTTGCAGAAATCGCCTACCCCCCCCCCCCTCCATCCATTTTGTATGATCACAAGGCGTGATTGAAGCTGCTGATATTCTTCTTTAAACGAGTCGGATTTTCAAAATCTATAAGTTGGACTCCCTTTATAGAAGCTTTGAACTGAATTTGCACTGCTTAATGCTGAAATTTTATTGTTTATCCATACATTTTAAGAAAAAATGTATAAAAAAGATGTTAAAGCCAAATGTTGCCCTAAAAATTCAGAAAATGTGAAAAATTTCGAATTTTCTATGTACAGGCCTTGTTGCCCCTTTAAGAAGCTTAATATGTAAATTATCTAATCAAACACTTCGTCCACCATTTTGAAACACTAATCAATCCAATCTGTGCTAGCGATTCATAGGGCGAGCCAGTGGGATATTTCCAGGGTTCATACACACCTGGAAATGTCAGGGAAATTGACTTGATTTTCCAAGTGCTGGAAATGTCAGGTAATTTTAAAATTAGGTCAAAAGGGCCAAAGATGACCGGGAATTTTGAAACGGTAAACATGTCAGGGAAATGTCAGGGAAATTTGTATCAGTGTTGAAAAAATAATGTTCCAGAGATTAATGTTTCCAAACTGTTTTGAAACAAACTAACGTCTTGTTTTCAACCTACACCTTGCTCCTTTCTGTCGTATTTAATAGTATATCCCGGAGGGATACGAACCCCTCACCTGGGACTTGGTTATTCACTAGCGCCATAGGCGTTCTACTATTCTGGATACAACTGACGAGTCGTATTTAAGTGGAGACAAAAGTGAGGATCATTTTGAATTGACGCTCGGTATAAATATATAATATTTTTGTTCTTTCATATCGGTAGCTCGTTGGCCTAATGGTTAGCGTGCCTGGCTTCCATAGTCTAGGTTAGTTGATCGAGACCCGTTCATGTCGAACTTTTTGATTTGCTTGTTGTCAAGATATAATAAGTAGGGCAAAATCCAGAAAAAGTAGATCAAAAATACTCCAATGGAGTATAAAATTGTCACCAGGATTCCGGAATGAGACGAATGTTAACTCGTGAAATCTCGGTAAATAAGGTAGGTCAGAAAATCCGGATTAATCCGAACAAGGTTCGGGAATTTCCGTCATAAGAAGTAGGTCAAAAATACTCCAATGGAGTATAAAATTGTCA